CGTTGTGATTTGCTATGAATTTTTTAAAGCCAAAGCCCGGACAAACCCGCTTTCTAAAAGTCCCAACACTCATAGGAATTTCAAAAGCACCGGAATGATGAGAAAATGATGACACTTTGACACGTACTAATCAGTCAAACCGCTATCTCGTCTCATTTTCCACTCATGTTTGTTAAAATTAAACGCATTTCAACCTGAAATTATTGCGTGTTTAATACTTGTATGAAACTAGATTGTTTGATTTTAAAGGTCAAGTTTCGACTTTTGTATTGTTCTCATTTACGAGGAGCAGAGAGACTTTTGACGGAAGTCGTAGAAACCCACGGTTGCCTCTGATCGGTGCCGGATCACATCATTCGGTTCGGCGCGAAACTGGGGCGTTTTAATTTTGCGGAAAAGTTGCGCTTTTTAAAATGCGCATTTCTCGGTTCCTGAGTTAATGTCTCGGGTTTTAATGTGCGCATTGTGTTCCACACGTCATTTACCTTGGTAAAAATGTATTCGCAAGTCAAAATTCGTTCATGGTTTACAGCATGGTGTCCAGAACGGGAAATTCCGTGATTTATCAGGGAATGAAAATTTACAGTGAAAATCTGGGATAAATCAGGGAATTTGTTCCAGAAACCTGGAATCTCTTCTTTCGCCGCTTAGGGATCATTTTCATTCCAGATTTGGCGGTCTAATCTGGCCGAGCGCTATTATCAACTTTTTGAATGACACATTTAAAGCTTCAAATCATCAAAAGAATAGAGAAGCTTTCATTGACCAGATAACATAAACATCAAGAACGCAATCGGAATTAAAATTTTGAAAGTGTGCCAAAGAAATGGCTGAAAGATGAATTACAATCTATATTCATTTATGGAACTCTGGATGATTATAATCTTTTCTCGCAGAAAATCCCGGGGAAGTGGGAGAAAACTTGGGTCTTTTATCAGGGAATGAGCCCCTGAAAATCAGGGAATGAGCCTGATGAAAATGTCTAGACACCATGGTTTACAGGGAGCCATTCCTCCAATGAAGGGGAGAGACGTTTGTAGAAAAATGAAGTTTTGAGAAAAGACACAAGGCATCTGCGTTTTGGCAACAGAGGGGCGCGCAGAAACACAATGTCCCGCGATTTCCGGGTACTCGCTGCCGGGCCCCAACTCATAGATCACGCTTATTATCGTGCTTATTGCTGCGCCGCGCCACATTCGGGAGCATCCCAGCTTCGCACGCTGCCGTTTCAAACTCAGGCTTGACCCGATAACTTCTTCCGGCTTCCCAGGGACCCCCTTTTATTTTCCCGCGATAAGTGACGCCTCGTAATGGGGCCCTTCCCGAGCTCGCCAAGAAGCACGCATCTTCGCTGCGGGAACCCCTTGCAGATACGTCGTTATTCCGACGCGGCCTTATCTCTGCGGCAGGGCTATACGTGCGCCTCGTCTTAACTGACGAAGCAGAGCGGGCGAAGATGCTTATACGCGACTTAATTTTCCTCCTCGGAAACCAAGGGGTTGCCTTCTGCCCCCGCGAACGGCGACGCAGCACTTAGAAGGGCGTCGGGACGCCGGAATCCGCGTCAATTTCATAACCCTCTTCGTGTATACAAAGTATCATTTTACAACTGTTTAATGTTATTTCCAATAATTTTCCTACGAAATAATTCAATCATTTTTTTTAGAAAAATATTCTTGACTGTTGCATGATGATGATCGGCTGTCCATAAAACAGAATAATACTCCGAGAGATCGTAAGGGGCCGTCCCCCAAATTTCGGAGGGGGGGTCGAAGAGAACGTAACGCCATTTTGTTTTTACACGTTGAAGGATAGGGACCTACGCTGCAAAAACGTTACAAGGAAAAATGCGTTACGCAATTTAAAGACGAAAGACGGTCCCCAAGCCGAGGAGCCTGATAGTGTGGTTTCGTAAGTATCATGAGCCCTGATTCGTCTCTCTGTAAAACGCCTGCGATTTCCTGGGTATGCACCGACCGATTTATTTTGAGCTGTTCATTTTGATCGTCCAAACCAAACTAAAAGGATCATCAAGTGTGTTGTGAAACGATCATCATCTTCAAGTTATTTAGACGTCCCTCAAGTCTAAAAATACTATCAAAGGGTCGCAAATTCGATCGTTCATCAGGCTCACGAACTTTATGTCCACTTTTTTTACGTCCGCAGACTTTTCGTCCACAATTTTTACATCGACAGTTCTAAAGCCCACACTATTGTTAAGTCCATTACTTAAACATCCACTAAGTTAAGTCCACAAATGTAAAGTCCACTAAAATCAAATTCAAGCGTCAGTTTGAAACGTTTCCTCAGTCTAGGGCTGTTCTATCGGTTGTCGGTAAGCTACCGAAACTGTTCCGTTAAGAAAAAGTTACGATAAGAGCGCTCTTGCCGATAGCGATCAGAGTTTTCGGAGCTGGCAAAAATAAGCTGTTGCCATGTGTACATCTATTTCATGCGCCGCCGCCGCGCCAGGCAATCTGATAAACCGACACAAGGGGCAGCAATGCGTTGAGTGCGAGCTCTCAAAAATCCGATAAGGCCGGCTGTTGTCGATATCATCGCCACTGTCGGTACTGCCGCCAGTTTCAATAAGAGACGATATCGAAAGAGTTCCGGCAAGAATTCGTTTGAAAACCCCTACCTCAGTCACTCCGCGAGTTTCAATATTAGAGCCTAACACAGAGCGGAGCGGCGTGTTAGCAGCGCAGCACGCGCACTGGCGCCTACAAACCTAACGGGATACTTCACGCATTGCGCAACGCGTGAAGTATCCCGTTAGGTTTGTAGGCGCCTATGCGCGTGTCACGCCTCACGCTGGTTGCCTGCCGCGCCGCAACGCTTTAAGCAACTATTTCGCGTCAGAGGCGTTGCACAGTATCTTACAAGATTGAAGGCGCACGAAATAACTAGTCTAAGAGGACTTTCATTTTGACTGCATCTGTTACTGAAAAATGTTTAATTTGGCATTGGAGCGTTTCCTAGGCTCCCGCTTTGGTTTTCATCTTATCATATCATACCATGAACATATGTTTTTATCTGCTCTTAGAGTCTGTTCTCTTTCACGACTTGATTCATGAATGAAATGCTTTTTAAAAATGAAGGTAGTAGTAGTATTCATTTATTTTTGAGGTGGTTCCCGTCATTAAATGAGAAGAAAAAAATGTGGACATTAACATGTTCACAATTTGGACAATTTTGGACATATTCATGGTTGGAAATAAAATCATGTGGACTTCATAAAGACTGGACTTAACGTTTAGTGGACATTAATAGCGGTGAACATTTATTTAATGGACGAAAGGCATGTGGACATAAAGTCCTGGAAGCGTTCATCAGTTAAATCCTCTGAAACAAGGAGTTGATGCTCAGACAATAGACTTGAAGGAACGTGAAGCAAATGTTTAAGGAAAACATGAGAAATAGCCACTCTTGTGGAAGTAACTCACTTTTACCTGTTCGCTCCCTCTGTTATACCCCGAAAACTTTGAAACGAAGAGGGGTTTTTGGAACGGCCTGAAATACACTTTTCGACACATACTAGGGGGCTACGCCTCCTGACCGCTACGTGGCCCAATCCCGCGAGGGCACACCGCGCTTAAGCTCCATATCAATGATTGTGGAGCGAAGCGGCTCACTCGTTTTCGGTAATTCCTATCGAAAGAGAAGAAATAATTTTGAGAAAATGGTAATATGAGCTCAGAATTATCGAGGAAGTCAATAATAATGATACTTTATCATGAATAAGTAAACATGTTTGTAAAGAGTACGTCACGGTTCACTAAGAAAATCACCGGAATCACTGAATAGGTAGACAAAAGTAGAAATTAAAAAGGAAATTAATTGAGAGCACAAAGAACCACTTTCTCTTCCGATTCCGCCACATTTCGCCTCTCCGCCACATTCCACCTTTCCGCCACATTCCGCTTCTATGTCACATTCCACCTCTCCGCCACATTCCGCCTCTCCGCCACATTCCGCCTCTCCGCCACATTCCGCCTACTTGCCACATTCTGGCCATTTCCGCCTCTAGGCGGAATGGAAATCGCCAGAAAACCCAAAGGAGAAGGCGGGATGGAGTAAGAGAAGGGATAGCGGATTGAGTGGGCGCAGAATGCGCAGGTAGGGCCGGTAGGGGTGATGTAATAGGAGGGAAATGGAAGGAAGGGTTTGGAAGGGGTAGTGGACACGCCCAGGGTTAGGTTAAAATTTCAGCGTTACGGCTACCCGAGCTTACCTTTTTATATAGAGTAGATTTGCTTCCCATCCTATGAAAGCTGATGTAACTTTCGTACTTAACTTCGTTCTCGTCAAATCCCTTGCTTAAAATTAGATACTACGTACATACTCACCTTTGAGTGGGCGCCAAAAATATCCCTGTAAACAATAAGGATCAAGTTCCATGTACTTATAACCCTCGATTTGGCTCTCTTACCGCGAAATGTATCTACAAAAATAGGCTTCTGAGACTAGTAAACCGTGAAATAACTGACTCAATCGTTTCCAAAAGCCAGACAGCAAATATTTTTGACTTGCTCCGCGTGATTTCAATCATGATAGGGAGAGGCATGCAATAACATATCTTCCACTTTTCCTGCTCCAGAGATGGCTTTTCCTGACCCCTGCGATGATTGCCGTTTTTATTTAAGTATGGGGGAAATAAATTGGAGGTCTAAAGTAAGATTGATCATTTCCGCTCGGGAGATCAACTCAGGTGGAACAAGAGGGCTGGACCAAGTTTTAATAACAGTAGTCTTGCTATGAGCACTTGAAGGAAAAGAGCTCTGAGATACATTCGAAATGAGGAGAAGTTTTAGGAAGGCCTAAGCTTTGCTACAACGACAACAAACTGCTCAGTCAAAAAGTCTAAAAATAACGCGTTCTTGACGACGAATTCGTGTGGAAAGGAGAACTGAAATATCGGAGGATGTAATGAGTCACGTTTGCTTGATTATTTAACAATGCTCATTGTATATTAATTGTAACTTTTTTATGTGTTCCAGATGATCAAAATGATGTTAATAGTAGTCCTTGTCTTCACAGTCTGCTGGCTGCCTTTCAACATTTTAGTTGTGAGTAAACATAGATGACTGTAATACGTGTTCTTTCTTCATTTATAAATATTTTTCATATGTGAATTGATTTACTTTTATCAGTGTCATAATTTATATGAAAAACGGGGTCTAGCTGAAGTGCTGTCGCCTAATATCAAAACTATCATGATTACAAATATTATAAAAGATCTCATTTTGATCTCTCGGGTGAAGGAGATTCCGTGCTATTTGTCAACATTTTCTCTGATTTCTTTGCCCATTTTGAAGTTTATGTATCAATTTTGCCTCTTCGGTTTTATCTCTTATTTAATTGGAAGAGCATATAATTGGTAAACTTAAAGCATTTTGAAGACTTACAGTAATTTACGCTATGTTGACCGATGATGTTGCCACAAGAAAAAATTGAAAACAGCACAGATTAAAAATTATGACATTTTAAACCTCCAAGAAATTAAAAGAAAAACACAAAGTTGTAATCTCGCACCCGTGCCGTTTTAAATTTTTCCTCACCTTCTGAATTTTTAATGATAAAAGCACTTGGAATTGGGTCACCTGTGCCTTTAATGTAAATATATTTGCAGTCGTAAAATGAAAAACATGTAACACCACTTTGGCTATTTCCTGCTTTTTACAATTTTAATTTTCCATCTCTTCATGAAATACAACTGGTGGATACAGCTTCAATTCCAAATTAGAATTCCCCTGAGAAAATAAAATAAACGAAATTAATAAGAATAGGATTTTTTAATCGCATATGTCATCATTATAATAGATTTTCCTGGATGGACTGGATTTTCCGGTCATTTTTAAAACTTGTAGACGTACAAAGTTTTCGTCGCATGAGGCAATGCCTTTATGCCTTATTTGAGTTTAGAATGTTAAATCTTTTCCCTCCAAAAACCGTAATATTTTGCAAGTCGTTCAAGTTGAAGTTCGTCAAATACGAATTTCTGAATTTCAATATGTTCGGCTGACAATGAATTTATGAACGGTTTCGAAAGGTAGTTGTTTCTAGAAACTTGAGTGGAAATTTCCAGTCGATGAAAATAATTACATTTTGGCGAGCGGTGTCCGCAGTGTTGCATACTGAGCGTGTGAAGTTCCCGGTAAAGGAAACTATTCGCAAAGGTCTTAACTTTCAATCGAAAATAATTCTATCCATTCTGATAGCATCAAAAGAATATTCCCAGTGTCGCCGCTTCTCTGGTGTAAAGACGTATCTCTACTTTCACTTGAGCCCCGTAAGTATTGAGATATACGGAAAACAGGGTTCACACTGAAATTGAGACACGCCCTTCCGTCAGAGAGGCGCGATGTGAGCATACAAGAATATATCAACGAAAACGTCCACTTATCATTTAGCTCGTTCATAAATGCAACTAATTCAACTCCTAAGTTGGTAAAAATGCATAGCATTCAATCGAAGGCGCATTCCCGGCTTAGGTTGGCAGAGAAACGATCCAAGTCAACAAACACGAGTTATAAACCTCATCTGCTTGAACCTACTTAACATATCAAAGATAACATACTGTGGATGTTCAACGTATTTTTAAGCAGGTGCTTCAAGACGAAATGTGACCAACTATATTTTTTGATCTCGCACAAACTCACGTATGCAGCAACATGATAACGCACAAATATGGCGGTCTAGGGTTTTAAATAGCTTTCTCTTAAATCTAAGCTTTTTGAACTGAAAATGTCGAAGCGCCACTACTGTGGTTCAGTTTGAAATTTTTGGGCGTATTTTGTACAAACATGGTCCGTGACCACTTCTCTATGTTGCGTTGTCTACAAGTAACTAAATCATACATTTTTTAGACTAAGGTCCCGCACCTCTAATATACGTCACCTTAATCCTCACAGTTTTCAAAGAATTGTATTTCGACGGTGTAAGTCGGCAATCACAAAACTCGGTTTGCGACGTGGCAGACTTCCTGTCATACTTTATTTTTCAAACGGAAAACTACTCAACGGCAATTCTTTAAAACTGCCATGATTTTTCTTCTCTGTGCGAAGAAAATTCTGCAAAAATTTCATGGAATGACGTCAATTTGTTCCTCTTTAAAAAAATAACATAGAGGCGGAGATTTTCAGACACCGCAAACGAGTTATGTGATTGCCGACTTATACCATTGATTTGCTCTTCAAAATACCATGTAGTCTAAAAAGAACAATGTACTAATTTAAAGTATTTGTATTTTTTTCTCCGGCTACCTTTGGATGTTCATACACAGTTTTCCTGAGGCATGGTAACTTTGTCAGAGGAGCGGCTCGTTTCAACTTTGCTTAGAGAATGCATAAATCGCTAAAACCTTTAATCAAGATTTAAAGAACGGGAGAAGTAGAGAGATAACAAATTCCACCTCCACTCAAAAACACCGGCATTCGAGGGCTCGAGTCTGTGCTGAGAATTTTAATTCCAAGTTGGGCATTTGAGCCGCGAATGAAATCCAAGCCACGGGGTTCAAAGAACCGATTCGAGTACCCCTCGCCTTTTTGACGAACGTGTGCATGAACGGGGAATTTATCAAGGCTTGAGGGCGGTTAGGGTGGGATTTCCGCGATTTCAAGGTCACCTGAGCTGTTTGAATGGGCCCCTCTGGCCTCCCCCTCTCCGTCCAGGTAGGGATAGGGAGCGCGCCCGTGTCGAGCCGGGGGAGGAGGGATCAATTTCCATCTCATTACTTCCACTCATCGCGGTCCTGTCTTTCATTGATGGATTCCAGCACTTGTCTACTTGCGGTCGGTTTGTCTACTGTGCTTTGATAAAGCCCCATTTATTCACCTTCGTTTACCGCTGGAATTGTTTCCAGCCGCTGTTGCCTCGCTTCACAACATTTTTACGCCATTCCAAAAGGCCCTTCTCTCACAATTCCCGACATTTTCTCTTACTTTTTTCTCCTTCCTTCGAATTTTTTTCCGAGGTTGGCTTGTTCTCCCTAATCGAAGGAAACAATAGTTACGAAAAGCTGTGTCTTGTTCCTACAAATGAGATGAAAAAGAAGAAAATTAATTCGACTATCAGTTTTGGCTCTAACAACTGTTTTAATTTAAATAAGAAATGTACTTTTTTTCAAGAATAGTTTTGCTTTGTCCAAATTACTTTTTTCTTTATTCTAAGGGGAAAAAATGTTTCACCTTTGACAAATTTTCCACGATCTGTCAAATGTCTTTCCTGGTGCATGTTGTGCACCCATACTAAAAAAAAGTATACTAATGATAACTGCAAAAAAACAGGAAGGCTCAAAAGATATGTACTAAATTGTACGCAAGCACCCTTTTCCCCTTATTATTCGGTTTTTGACGCAATTTTGCTCATACTTACTTTCTTCCCAAAGATTACTCATATTTTTTTCATGCTACATAGTTACACGACACGCTGCTGATTTTTCCAGCCCTTCCCCTAAATGCGCTACGCGATATGGTCCCGTTCTGGTTGGCAATAACTGGCAACCCTGCTCAAGAGTTGAGCCCCCTCTCTGTACACAGAATTTGATTAATTATTACACAAGTAGACTCTTCCATAATGTAACAAACCGAGGCCATTTCGGCCTAAACTTCAATAACTTTTTTGTGAGCCTCATAGTGGAATTTGAACAAACAGGCACGTAAGGAGTACGTTCCCCAAGTTTCCAGCCCCACTATTATCCAGATCAACCTAGAGTAAGGTGGTATAAGGAAAACCTTCAAACTGAAATAAATTCGCGGTAGTTCAATCTGAATTAAAGAATCTGTTCTGTAATTGGTAATCCACAATTACAGGAACTTGATTCATTAGTGTTTATACGTTGCTTTTAAAATAAAAAATCAAAATTCAAAAATAAGTATTTAAATTTTATACGATCTACGATGAACTCGGTTTAGCTTTACCACCATTTGTCATAAAAACCAACTGACGAGCTGAGTACATTTCGCTCATTTTCTACTGGATGGATATTTGGAGCACAAATCGGATCGAAGAAGCGCAAGTCCAAATGTTTACAATATTGAAGGAATAACACCAATACTTCTGTTTAATCCTTCGATGTCTAAGCCAGGTCACATTGACCCAAGGCTTGCTAAAAAGACGTGCCCTGCCGATCACCTAGGGCTAGTAAATACGCGCTTTAGATAAAGGTCGACGAATCCGTAAAAAAAGAATGAGACATTAAATTGAAAGAAAGGAAAAAACCGAGCGTACACACAGAAAAATATAGGATATCTCGTTTTATAACTTTTCTGCCGAATCTGACCGACACCTTATTCTGCCGTGCTTAGGGAGAACGCCGTATGAACATTGGAGAGTTGTCAAATTTCTCCGAATGAAATGTTCATTTTTGAGGAAAATTATGAATATCTTTCCTCGACAACTTCAGGAACTTTAGGTGAAATTGCGAACAAGATTATCTGAAAAATTGGAAGGAAAATATTCATAAGTTTTCCAGGAAATTTGTTTTACGGCGTTGTGTTTTTGCACGGCAGTATTGGCAGCGGCTTCATAAAGTGGAACATTGAGAGTTGACGCCTCGCGCCATGGCGCCTTCAATTTCGCAGCTGCAACACGGACATTCATCAAGCACGAATAGTTGTATCTCTGCGCCGTCACCAACGCGCGTCCTTTTTCTTTCTCCATTTCCATGTTGCGTTCGTTCCGTTTGTTTTATCTGTAGTAATGCATTCAGGACCACGTGAGCTATATACAGCCGAAGATAGAAAGATGTATTCGGGCCTCGTTTTTGAACTTGTATCCCGGATCTAATCGACACCTCATTCACTAGCAGCATAGAAGAGGGCACTGCAAATTCACGCCGCGCTGTCGCGCCGTCGCGCCTTCAATTTTGAAGACGCGGCAGGAGCATCCATAAAGTGTGAGTGGTTGTACCTCTGCGCTGTCATTAACACTTGCGAGCGATCTCTTATTTTTGATGTTTGAGAAAAATTAAGGTTAAATTTGCTCAAAATATACTATGAAGTGTCCAAATCAATAATCGTTTTGAAAAAAAAAATACAATTTAAAAAAAGGTACAAGCATGCTTAAA